CTAACTGTCTCGTTCCCCATATTGCGTCTTACTACATCCCATGTGGCTTTAACTTTATTTTGAGAGTTAGTGATATGCTTGTGGTTGCATAATGACTGTAAGTTGTTCATGCACTTTCTTAACAATTTTGAATATGTTTTATACTTAATTTTATCTACGCTATTTCTATTCTTATAATATCTATGTCTTAACAATCTTTTAGTACAACAGCTATTTTTAATCCCTTTTGATATCCATTTGTGTTTAATATTAGTATATTTCTTTTTTATTTTTATACTTGGAAAGCATAGTTTGAAGAAGAGATTTAATAGTTCATGAAACTCATCAAAGGCTTCATTAGTATTCTCTAAATCATAGACTTCACTAAAACTTAAGCTACCTAATATTCAATAAATTTACTTATATTACATTTATTCAAGTCATTGATAACAATAAAATAGTAGTCTAATGGGTGTTTTTCTTCTATTTTTATAGTAACAATTTGAGCTGTGTTATGATCAGATAGATGAAAATTAAATGTTTCACCAGATGCATTTGTGACATTACTGATAATATTGTCTATACACTTGTTGAGCCTAGTTGGTTGATGTATTAGATATTGCATTCCATAATTAGAAAGTAGTTCCTTAAAATTCGTAGTATTTGAATCGGATGCTAATAGGTCTATATTAAAATCGCCACAAATTACTATTTTATATTTTTTATGTTGAAGTCTTGATAGAGTTCTATTAAAATTTTCAAAAAATATTTTTATATCTGAATTAGGTGTTCTATAAATGCATATTATGATCAGTTTTAATTGTTTTATTTCTATACAGCATATTTCAAAATGTTTTTCTATTGCAAGATCTTTAGTTATGTCTAAATTGTTACTTTCATAACCTCGTCTACACAGAATACATGTACCTCCACGCCTTTGATCTTGCCGTGAGAAGATTGCTGCTAGATAAAAATTGTTTAAGTTAAGATATTTTTCCTCACCATTTTTTATGAAATGTTCGCTAAGACATAAAAAATCAATATTTTTCTTTAAATCATGTAATTCCTCTAATACTACTTCCAATTCCTCAATTTTGTTTAAGATTCCAGCAATGTTTTGGTGTAATACTGTAAAAGAATATTTAGGGTCGAAAACAGTGTTTAGACTTTGTATTTACGTCTACTTGCAACGGTTTTTTTACAATGGGGAAATAGTATGGAATAGTACCTTTAATGGGTTGAGTCCCATGTGTGTTACCATTATGACCACTATCTGTTTGGAGTTTGTTAGTTTTTATTTTTGAACTATTAAAATAATATGGTATTGTACCTTTTTGCGGACTTACAATGACTGTGCTGCAAGCATTTACGAAGTTACTAGAAGTCTTTCGATCACTATGTTCAACTACTTTGGTTTTATCATTATGGTTGTTGTAAGAGAGAAATTTGTTGCTATACTGAGAACTGTTTATACTATATATTATTTGTTGTGTGATATTATGATATCCATCTGTCTCAATAAATGTACAGTTATTGTAGTTCTTAGTGAGAAGTTTTAACTGCTCATTGAGTTTTCGTTCGTTGAGTACATCATTCTGCAAAACATTTACAATATATACATTACATTTTTTTAGGAAATACAAAGCAACAGATACCTCAGACATGAATTCGATGGGGTTTGACTCATTGCTCCCTGTCAAAATAACCACATTATCCTTTGGAGTCAGTAATTTAGCCAAGTTCCTGCATTCAGCCAAGATGTACTTGGATTTTGCATTTGGCTTCGTTATTGACTGAATGGAATAATCTTCTAGAATAAATTGTTTTTTCTTTTCCAGTAGTTCGTTTATAATACCTCTGCCTTGATTGTCCGAAAGTAGAAATATTTTTCCTTTTTCTTGAATATTTACCTTTGACTCTTGTACCTCTCTCAGTGGTAGGTCCTTGTTATTGTTGTTATACTCCAAATTACAATTGTTTTTACGCGCATTGTCTTCGTGAATCCCATTTTTGTTGATTTCTGCTGCTGAGTGTATTCGGGTGGAAGATTTCGGAGTGTGAAATTCTAATTCCAAATTTAATTTCCTCGCCGACAGTTTGGGCTTTAAGTTTGTTGGTGTATTTTTGAATTTCTTCGTATTATTGGACGATATATTAGTTTTCCTCGTAGTTAAGTTTGTAGTTAGACTGGTACACAAACTTTTAAGCCGCTCATTCTTTTGTATTTCTTCTTCTAACTTTTGTTTTAGTGTGGAATTATCTAAGTTGAGTTGTTCTATTTCCGCGTGTGCACTTTGCAATTGACCTCGTAAGTTCTCAATTAGGTTTTGTAGTTCCAATATTTCATCACTCTTGATATGTGTGGATAAATCCATCATACTCCTAACACTTAAATTTAAACACGAAGTATCAAGTGAATCAACAGAACCGTTTGAATAGCATTTTCGAATGCGTCTGTTTCTCATTGTAATATTAGTATTTTCCATTGCTTTTTTTTTTTTTTTATTTATAATGTTTCGTGCGTATTCTGCTTGCAATGGAACGTGAACTCAAAAGGCAGGAGTCCAAGTTAACCATATGAATTAAATTTCAATTTCTGAACGCTCCGTCTAGTGTCAAACTTTTGACGTGTTTTCTGATTGGTCGACGGATGTTTGTTTTTATGCCGTCAGGTTGTCAGAATTGCAGGTCTTTTGGAATTTGTAAAATTTTGAATTAATAACTGCATAAGATTGTAAGATATGTAGGTTTAAACGTTTTTACGTTTTTAACACTTGCACTGATTAATTGTTACCACATAAATGTTGTCCAATTTGTTAATAATAGCTGCTTTTGCAGTTTTTATAATGTTTTTTTGGATTAATTAACAACAAAACACAGATCTTTAGTAGTTCACTTTGCAGTGTATTATATAAACAAGCACTTGAGTTTTCACTGAGATAACATTATCACTGTATATTTATGACTTATTAAGCGTCCTGATGTATTCTTCTATTAATTATGTTTGGAAATACTTAAGAATTTAATTAATCACTAACAAGCTATTGTTGACACTTTTAGGCAGTGTTGCCAACTCTAATGACTTGACATAACGCATTCTCAATCTTATTCTAACCCAATTGGTATTCAATTTGATTGAATGTATTGTCAATTGTCTGACCGAGGGCGCTTAGGTGCGATTTTCTAAACGTTAATCAGTACAGTTACCAAATTCAGTACAGTTTAAACCATCGCAATTAGTTTCGTGAGTACTTAATATTAATTTAACGATACCTGTTTACATTTTAAAAAATCCAGCTAGCGGATTGTGACAAAACCACCAGCGGACTCTAATATTTACAATGAGTGTGACATAATGTACCTAGGTAAGTTGCTCAACAGTCTCCAAGCCAAATTGTTCCATATCTAATTTATAAGGCCATACGTAAAGCGTTTTTATGGTTTTTAATCTTTTATCGAGTAGTGTTGCATTTTCAACGTTGGGACTGATGGCTCGTACACAAAACTGCGATGCGATTTCATGCGATAAGGCATCTCCCAGGGTGACCATTCCTTCGACAACCGTCAACCGTATTAAAAGCATTTTAAATTGAAAACTAGGTCATGACATGGATCGTAAATAAAAAGAAGTGTGAACTTCTGTTATTGCTTAGGAGATACAGGAAAAAGAAACAAAGAAGATTTTGGGAAGATAAAATTTTGATACGCGATGCGAATTAATTCGGAATTTCTTGCAATATGTAGAGGGAGCTCGCACATTTTTGCGATGTGACGTCGCACCGCAGTTTTGTGTACGAGCCCTTAAGTCCTTAGTAAGAAAGTAATTAAAACTCCTTATTAATTGACGCTACGTTATAAAAGCGCTTGTGTGTTAGAAGCCTTACACTTGTCTTGTTCAGTTATAACAATTTAAGAAAAAAAAGAATGATCTCGTGTGTAAAGTCGCAGCCAAAACCCACTAAATAAATAACAACACAAACAACGATTTAGGTGACACTAATATCCCAAGTACAATAACCCAGGGACAGAATCCGTTCAAATTCTACAAACATAAGGCTTACAGCCTTAGTATATGTTTGTTTAACTAAGACCTATTACTTAATCGTTTAAGCCCTACATTCGAGGTGGTCTGTTAGTTCTCGTTAGGCACAGACGCCATCCATTTGATTTTCAACTTTATCATAAAAGAATAAAGTACTAAATCTGTTAAAGGTCTGTTGGGTAGCTTGATGTGTTGTCGTCTTGTACAATGCTAACCTGCGGGTCAACTAGAGGTCACTCATTGTATAAACTACTTAAACAGAATGAACGAAAACTTACTTTAGTTCAACAGGTTGATATTACCCAAATAATCATTCTATGAAGTACTTAGCTTGCAGAGATATTTTACGGTACAGTCTCTTTGCGATATGGGTTCCATTCTTTCCATCGCCAGAGCCATTAGACCACAACAGAAAGGACCCAGTAGAACTGGTCCGACCCGACGCGGACCACTTAACGGGTTACCGGGGTTACAGCTCGAATCAGTAGTTGGAACGGGGTGGATTGTAGTCAGTAAGAGACTGACGCCCTCTTTGAGTTCCCACTAGGAGTAGTCGTTGGATGGTTTATCCCCTACAAAAAAGGGTTCAATTCTTCAATAGACGAACGTAATATTTTCCAACTAGCACTAAAAAAAATGAATTTAGAAAAACCCCGATGCGACCTTAAAATACCATGAAATAATCATTTCAACATCCCATCTTATACAATTAAACCCTTCTTTCAGAAGATCCTTAAGCTAAGTTTAACTGTCCAATGAAACTGTTCGAAAGGTTAAACTGCATACTTACTCTAAACTATTTTTAAAACGACTTCATGTCAACCTTAGTACCTAAATGCTAATGATCTTTAAATTACTTACTGAAAAGTCAACCTATTTTTTTTCTTACTTAAGTTGATTTCTGCTTGTGTTCTATAGCGCAGCAATTTAATGTGCTTGAAATGCTATTGTTTTTTCCAGGTCCCGTGTAATATGAACCATGATACCCCACGTGGATGGACATAAAGACGAACAGGAGGAGGACCACATACCGTTTGCCATAGAAAATCCAAAAAGTAAGTTCCATTTTGTATCTTATTGACTTTCATCTATGGTTTCATTCATATATTTAGAATTAAGAAGATTTTTGTCAAATAAGTTCCGGTCCAATAGGAATATTGGGATAGATAGTAACGTATTTTTTAATTAGACTGCACAGTTGGTGCGGTGGCTGGGCAACCGGCTGCCACGCAACGTCGCAGGTTTGATTGCAATTTGATTGCAACAACTCTTTGTGTAATCCGCAAATTGTTGGTTCGGGTCTGGGTGTCATGTGTATATGAACTTGTATGTATGTGTCGTAACGACAGAAGACAATCTTAGTGTGGTGCAAAATTGTTTAAAAAAACAAAATCCCCAAAAGTTTTTCAATGATAAATATTTTATTTTAATCGGTCCGGTATTATTTCATTCTTAGCTTAATGAATGTAAACAAACAAATAATGAAAACTATAGTATTTTAATGTCAGTGTCTAGACTGGTGTGTCTCTATTTTTATAAAGCTATACTTCTAATTAAACTTTTAAACTGCAGTTTATTGCAATACTTTGTATGTAGACGGGATTAAAAGGAATCCCACACAAAAACATTAAATATAAAAAATGCCAAGTCTCTCGATGCAGTCTTTCCATCGTAAAATGTCCCATAGAAGCGAAGTCCTATTCAAATTATTTTGTAGTTATAAATCAACATTTAGTAATTGTATCAATAGTTTTCTTTATATTATAATTATAGTAACTTGGCAATGATTGAGCACAAATTAAAAGCTGCCTAAACGCCTAGCTTTGTCCACGTCGAAGATATAGGGGGGAGGCGAAACAGCTACGAATCGCTTCGAGAAAAGATGGTACGGCGTGTCCGTTTTGCTCGAGACTTGGCTGGGGCACAGTCGTGCTCCCAGATTCGTCCTCTTTCATTTAGTTTTCTGACATTAGCTTATAAACCTGGACATATTACAGCTCAGACTAGATATAATTGCGCTCTAACAGAGCAAATATAAAACCTAGAAGAAGAATTCTAGAAATAAAGAAGTATAATTTGGACTAAACATGACAATATGACAGTTTCAATGTGAATGTTTCTTTGTTCGGATGTTTCTCCGTCAATCACGCTGAAACTACTGAACAGATTTTGATGAAATCCGGTATATAAGTAGGGTATGGGCTGGCTTTGGTGATAGGATACTTTATCTCGATTAATTCCCCCCCCCCCAATGGGATAAAACATGAAAACGCCGTTTAAGCCGCGGGTTAAAGCCAGTGATATAAATGTAACTGTTTCATTTTGTACCCATTTTGAATATAATACCCAATTTTCTATGAATTCTCGACTTTGAATTGAATATATTTTCAAATAAACTCGGTCAAAGTGAGCCACAAAAATAGGTCGTATGGCGCAACAGTAAACATCGTCCATGGTAAACACAACTGTCAAAAAAACATATCAAACGCAGAGCAACGTATATCATGACAGTCCTCAAACAAGGGTTGCATAACAAAAATCCCCCCGTACAACTTTTTTACCCCCCGTACAGGTTCAGATGCGTACCCTTCTCTAAATATATTTTTTGGAGTATTTTTATGACAAAAACAACAGACGGTATCGCTGAACATGGTATTCAATAAATATTACGTCATACTTAAAGGAAATAAGGACCGTTTTCACTAACCTCTCCTTAATTTTATTTATTTATGTATTTATTTATTCATCATATTGCACAATATACATATAATAAGAAGACATACATTTAATTCAGTACATTACCCTTTTAGGGCGCAGTAATTTAATTCATAACTAGATATATATAATATACTGCCTCGTTGGCCGAGTGGTCGCAAGTACGACTGCCGGACAAGGGGTCTCGGGTTCGATTCCCGGGTCGCGTCGGGCAAAGTATTACTGGGTTTTTAAAAATCTCAGTAGTAGCACGGAGTCTGGAAATATGCCCGCTATATGCCAATAGGCTCACCCCTATTAGAAAAAGAAAGAAAGTTGGTGTTACATTGTACAGTGGTAGCCGTGGTAGGTATAATGTGCACCTCTGCCTACCTCTTCGGGGATAAAAGGCGTGATGTTATGTTATGTTATGTTATATATATTATAATCAGACAATAACATATTGTTATATTTACTAACATAATGACTGCTATAAACTTATTTATTCTAAGATGTATTATCACATTCACTTTAATTTCTAGGAACCCCTAAGCTGCGATAGGTGTCATTTAGCGTCATTTTAGTTTTCACTGACCATAAGTGACATCTAAGGGGTTAGTTTAAGTGCTGCTGCTACGTTAAGTAACTTTTAGTTAAATGGCAGTTTAGGGGTGATTGACGAAAACATAAGACACTTTTGACTTTGCATTTAGACCGCTATCAGGTCGGTCCCATTCAAATAGAACATCGCCTATATCACCAATCTTTGGATATAATAGCTATAGCGACTTCATCTAAAATATGAATTTTAGGACTTGACTTTTTTTGTTTTTACTTTCCAAAATAAAGCCTATGTTACTACTTTATACATCAGCTTACTTCAAGTGTGGGAGAGCCATGCTTCGGCACGAATGGGCTGGCTCGACCGAAATGATACCGCGGCCTAAGCAACGCTTGTGTTTCATCGTGTGAGTGAGGTTACTGGGAGCACAGCTCCCTCTTCCCTTCCCCAATCCCACCAATCCCCGAATCCCCAACAATCCTCAAACTCCTAATCCCCAAAAGACCGGTAACGCATTTGTAACGCTTCTGGGGTTCCAGGTGTCCATGGGCAACGCCGATTGCTTACCATCAGGTGATCCGTCTGCTCGTTTACTGGTATATGCCATAAAAAAGCTAACTGCCAATAAAAGTCCCGTCAAAATCGGTCCAGCTATTCCCGAGATTAGCCAGTACAAACAGGTAGATGATAATTCTAAAGAATGTTATTTTGGTATGTCTACCGTATGTATTATCATATGCAAGCAGTAAAAAGCAGTTATTCTAGAAATAGAGACTCCAATTTTATTTATCTGTATATAGATATATATATATAGATGACTCAAATATCAAGCTATCAAATAGTCAACAACAAAAATGTACAACACCCTTCAAATGATTTGTTGCCTTTCATTCAAGTGCGTGGCCGTAAGAAATAAGTCCTGACACTCCCCACAGATAACAAATTGTTTTCAATTTATCTGCTATGTTCTACAACTTAGAATAAAACCTTCAGTGATGGATAGAATCCATTTTGTTTTATCTCTAGACTGAGATATTTCAATGAGCTAAATTAGAAAAAATACAAATAGGTATGTTGGTCCAAATTAGTATTATTGTTTTTACGAATCACTGTACCTACCTCTATTTTTTAATGTATTTGTTAATACTTGCTCGGTATATGGCAATAGGCTCACCCCCTATTACATGGGACTCATAACATAAATAGTCAAAAGTGGGTATTACATCGTACAGTGGCATAATGTGCACCTCTGCCTACCCGTTCGGGGATAAAAGGCGCGATGTTATGTTATGTTGTTGTTAATACTTGATTCCAAAATGTACTTTGAGCTCATAAGTTTTCTTATTAACTGTTTTGTTGAAAGGAGAAAATCTCATAAAGATCCGTAGAACTACAGTATTTGATTTTAGTACATACGTATTGACAGACAAACGCGTCACTATACGAAAATATATTGCGAATCTCTCCTAATTTCGCTTAAAAATCTTAATTACTAATTAATACCTAAGTTAGTCTGTGTATCGTGGTGGCCCGGAGGATTATAAGAAGCCCGTGCTCATCATCTCATGCATGAGGGTGCGGGTTCGAAACCTACCAACGGCAAGTACTAATGTGACTTTTTCCGAGTTATATGTACTTTCTAAGATTATCTCTAGACACCACTGACAAACGGTGAAGGAAAACATCGTGAGGAAATCTGGGCTTATAATTTCTTATTATAAGTTTGTAATCGCCAACCCGCATTCAGCAAGCGTGGTGATTAGAGGAGGCTTTGCTCAGCAGTAGGCATTTATAGGCTGTTGATGATGATGATGGATTTAGTCTGATTGCTTAGAATATTCTATATTAACCTACACATACGAAGTATGTGGTGGTTTTTATTAGGTACTTATTTATGTAAAGACACATACTATACTAAAACAAATTCTATTATGATAGGTAGTCAATCGACTTTCAATTTGCTGGTCAAAATGTATGTCTTATAATTTTTATAATACCAATCGTTTTATCAAATTAACTAAAGTTTGCGGGTTAGCTTACTGAGTAGGCTGCGCGACATCGCCGCGATCGCGCTCGCTGCTCACGAGGAAGAGCCCCTCTGTAGCTTGAAACTAATAGAGCTTTTTTCAGTATTTTAACGTAAGTAACCCGCGATTTTTAGTTAATGTTTTATAATTATTTAAAAATAAATATACTTATACTTCCAACCAAAGACGCTGAAAAAGGCAGCTATAATGTCACTTAGAAATTATTGAAGCACCAAACTGTCAGTGGGTTATGTATGTGTGCGTGTGTAATGGGTTACCACGTTTTTTTATGGCATAAGCCGGCAAACGAGCAGACGGATCACCTGATGGTAAGCAATCGGCGTCGCCCATGGACACCTGGAATACCAGAGGCGTTACAAGTACGTTACCGGCCTTTTGGGGATTAGGAGCTTGAGAATCGTTGGGGATTCAGAAATTGGAAAGATTGGGAAAGAGGCGAAACACAACGCAAGCGTTGCTTCAAGTCGGTTTTCTGTGAGGCTGCGGTATTACTCCGGCCGGGCCGGCCCATTCGTGCCGAAGCATGGCTCTCCCACACGTTACTAGACTTAAGAGCAATGACAGATGTCCTTCGTGTCAATGTGTGTATGTTCTACGTGTAGGGTGAACTCATCTAACTTCGTGACAAAGGCATTTGAGTAATAAAATACCAATAAATTATTAATTAATTTAATTCAGTCTCCGCATGAGTTTTAATCAGTCTTTTATGAGGAATATTAGCACAAATAATCAGATTTTTTTTCTAGAAACC